CTCTGTAGCCCAATGTCCCCTGCTCATCACAACCAGGAGCTTCAGGGGTGTCTCCTGAGTGTGCTGGCCTCATTTTCCTTCACAGCAGTTTGTCTGTTGTGTTTGTGGTTGTGCCTGGGTTTGGTCCCTCCGCTAAGAGGTCTGGGGTGGTCATGAGCTTCCGGTTGGGTGGTGTCAGAACATCAGACCAGATGCCTGCCCTCAGCCCGTTTGCAAGGGCTGCCGTCACACTCAAGTGCAGGGTGTTGTCTCAAGAAGCTTTTGTTGGTGGGAAGGGCTGGCAGTTGGGCCAGATGCCAGGGCTGCAGATGCCCTGATAGGCAGAGCACTCACTCCAGACTGCCGGTGACCAGGTTTGGCTGCTGGGACTGAGCGTGCCAGGGTGTGTAGCTATCGTCTCCTCTCTGCAGGGCAGGAGTCACTTTGGAGAGGCTGTATTCCCTGCCAGGGCTGCTTACAGAATACCTGGTGAGAGCTGCTTTGGGGGAATTGTGCCAACTGAGGTGGTTTGAATGGGGCGAGTCTAGAGGAAGAAGTGGGTGCAGAGTGCATGGTGTCACCAAGGAAGGTGGAGGGTGTTCACCCCATTTCCTGCAGGTGGTCCAGAGATCTACCTGGCAGGGGAGGGGGGCAGTGGCACCAGTTCTTGGCGAAGTCTCCTAAAGATCCCTGCCTCTCCAGTACCCATTCTGAGATTAGTAAATAAATCTCCTACACGTATAAGCTAGGTGCTTTTCAATCTGCTGCTTCTCTGCCATCTCTTGGCAGGGCTGTTTGTTGTGCTGGCTCTTGAAGGGGACTATTTCCTATCGCCTTTGGCTCTCCTGGAGCTGAGCCACTGATTTTTTTTTTTAAAGCATCTGGAATTGGGGTGCCTGGGTGGTTCAGTCGAGTGTCGAACTTTGGCTGAGGTCATGATCTTGCAGTCAGTGAGTTTGAGCCCCATGTTGGGCTCTGTGCGGTTAGCTCAGGGCCTGGAACCTACCTTGGATTCTGTGTCTCCCTCTCTGCCCCTCACCCATTCACCGTCTCAAAAATAAAGTACCTGGCGTTCAGCCCAGCTGGTTATTAAAACCTCAGAAAGTTAAGCCCTACTGCTTTTCAAAGCCAGGTGGTGGAGACTCTTCTTCCCACTGCAGGTCCCCCATGTCGAGGTGCCTGGTGTGGGGTCTGTCTTCCTTCTCTGGCGCTTGTGTTCCTCCTGGTTGTGGTTAGTCTCACCAGTTCGCCTCCCGGCCATGTCTTTACCCCTTGTACCTTTCTGACGTGTCCTTCTCTCTACAATGAACTGGGAAGTCTGTTTTGCCAAGTCTTTGGGTTGTTTTCTTGGGTGGATGCACAGGTGTGGCTGTTACCTAGCTGTGTCCATGGGACAAGGTGAGCTTGGGATCCTCCTCCTCCTCCATCGTCTTCCCAGGAAGTCCTCCAGGTAGGTTTTCAGTCCCGTCTTAACAGAGGCTGCTGTCACATGGGGGTGGAGGGAGAACCACTATCTTCCCACACTGATAGAGCACTTTGGCGGAGTTCATGGGTCAGATTTTGAGGTCTCCAAGATGATCATTAGAAATGGGATTGGGCTGAGGGGACCTGCATGCCTAGGGGGCACCCTTGGAGGTGACTGATCTCAAGGTCAGGCAGGTGCAGGTGGGCACCTGAGAGTTTGAGTACCTCCTTGAAGTCTGTACCCTACCTGCTTGCTCCCCACACTCTCGTCCTTGTTTGGAGCCCATAGGGGCTCTCAAACTGTTTTTTTAAATTATGATCTACAGTAGGAAATACATTTCACATTCATCCAGTGCGCACAGATGCATGTACACGCAGAGATGTACACACTGAACCAAAGAGTACAAGGAACAATATCAGTCTTACCTTTGGAATGCACCTGGCTTTTTTCTATTCTGTTTTACAAAACTGCTGCTCATGACCCACTAAAACGATTTTATACCCCACTAATGAATTGCAACCTGCAGTTTAAAAAGCTTTGCTTCAGTAGTTGCTCAGTATTTTAACACGTGGGCTACTTGATAGGTTTTAGCTGCCAATGGAATCCTATCAACCGTGGGCATTTTTCACAGTGGGGTTCATGCATTCAACAGAATTTAAGGGATCCTTTACTACTATCTCTAATAGGAGTTTGGGGGCCACCACAGGAAATCACAGAGCCACCCATTATAAAATGGAGTGCACCTGACCTCATTCCACTTAAGACTCCTGTTTGAGACAAGTAAGCTTTCTGAAATTGCCTATTGATTGCTTCTTTGTTAGGACAGGGAGGAAGCAAACAAGACATGTGGCCTTCAGATCACCATCTCCCTTAGTAATTGCTCTGCACTTGGGCCATGTGGTGGAGGAGGTTATGATACAGCTGCTTTTGTGACCCTGATGGTCTACTGGTAACTTGTTTTCCTTAAGGACCTAATAGCTCCCAATGCTCAAATGCCGGTTTTTACTGCAAAAAGAAAAGGGCATAGGAGACACACAATTTAGGATTTGCAGCTGTAGGTGTTTTGGGTGCAATTTATTTGCCTCACATGGCCATCAGGAGGAGCGGACAGCAGAGACTCGCTCTGGACTAGGATGGGGAAGAGGTCAGAGAGGAAGAGATTGTTGCCACGTTCATAATGGTAACAGAATCATCCTTTCTCAGAGAATCGGACTTCTTAAATTAGAGATTTTCAATGCAGGAGTATCCTTTTTAATGCAGCTTCATCTATAAAAGACGGATGCTGAAGTGTGTGGGGGGCTCGAGGCAAAGCCCAGACAAGGCCTCTGAGGCCTGCAGGACGCCACGGACCAGGGCTTCTGCATTTATCTCTGCGGTCAATGAAAACAGTTTCCTAGTGAGATCCAGAACAGAACTGTGCAGCTAGCTTGGCTTAACATTTGGATTTAAAAAAAGGGTTGAGGGAGGGGGGTGGTGGTGAATATTGTGTGCTTAAGTGGACAAGCAGAAAAGATGGAAAAACAAGTCACATCTATTTTGAAAACATTGTTTTGGTTTGAGTTGTGGACTTGTGGCAATTCTACACCTTGCTCATATACGGTTATGCTGCTTTTCAAAGTGAAATGCATGGCTGATCTTGTTCCAAAATGTGTCTACCAAATATCTTCTGTGTGCATATAATTATGAAGGAAACATTAGAAGTAAACCACAGATTCAAACTGAGTTTGTCATTTATGGTGGGTATGGCACTCAATACCCCAGTGAAGCAAAAACCACATATTCTCTAATAACTTCCACTAAGTAGACCACGGGTAGGCCTCTCCCAATGATGCAAAGTTGGGGGACAGAACACTGAGCCCCGGTCATGGTCTCTGAGGGAGAAAGTAGCACCTTATTAGATGTGGGCAGCTGGGTTATATCTAGCTGGACTGAAGTTTGGAGATTTTTTAACAAAAATGTAATATTTTAAGATTAACCCTGCATCCCGAGATCCAGCTTCCACAGAAATGAAGTAAAGACTGTTTGGATTAAGTCAGTCTTTTCACTTTCAGTATGAATTTAGATGTTTTTGTACTGTGGTCTCTGATATAGCACTGCCAGAATAGAGCTTTTCATTGAAGGAGTGACCACCTCCATGACCCCCAAGTAGACCTGCTTCACTGGGCAAAGCCTGGGGGCCACCCCCGCTCAGGCTGACTATCTAGATAAGAAAAACTGAGGGGGGCGATGACGACAATGCTGAAGGAACCTAACGCTCATGGGCTGGCTTTGCATCATGGTCCCTGAGGGCTCCTCAACGTCCTTACACTGAAATAAGGGGCAGATGCCAAACACTAGGATATTACTGTTCCTCAGAATAAATAAACCAAAAAAAAAGAAAAAGCATAAAGGCATCCTCCACCCTATATGATGCTTTTCTCCTGGTTTGAAAATGGGTGCATCTATTTTAATCCAATCCACTGTTTTTGAAAGTAGTTATAACAAATGCAAACTAAACCCTTTCTGGCTTAGAGTTCAATGAAGCCCAGATACCACGGGCTGATGTATGATGACAGTAATGGAGTATGGGCTTAAAAATGCTTCTAGGAGGAAAATAAGGTCTAAAATACTGTCTACCACTGACAGACCCTAGTAATAGCCAGAGTGGAACCAGGTAAGAAACCTGGTCTAAAGGAAAAGAAGGACTTCAGCTATTATTTTCTCTCTCTAAGCTTTAGGGTCTTCATCTATAAACTTGGCATTGCAGGGGCAACTGGGTGGCCCAGTCTTAAGCGTCTGACTTCAGCTCAGGTCATAATATCAAGTTTGTGAGTTCGAGCCCCGCATTGGGCTTTGTGCTGACCACTCAGAGCCTGCTTTGGATTCTGTGTCTCCCTCTCTCTCTGCCCCTCCCCTGCTCATGCTCTATTTTTCTCTCTCTCAAAAATAAACATTAAAAAAAACAATGGGCAGTGCAGGGTTTGAGGGATGATTAATAACTACAAACCTAAGGACGCAACCCACTGCCCAGTTCATAGTCTGTGTTTAATAAATGCTAGCTATTAATACTTAACTCTTAGAACAAAGAGAAACTCACTAGTTCAGGGGTGAGGGGGGTCGGATACATGAAGTCAAGTCTTTGGCTAATAAATGCTCTATTCGGGGTTCAACTCCCAGAACTCCTCACTCTAAACCACATGGCTCTTTCATGATCCACACCCTAGGGCTAAGGCGCTAAGAGCTTCACGGTCATGAAAAGTGGAGGATCCTTTCCCTGGCACACATGTGTCTTAAGCTCTCCATTTATGTGCTAAGTGGGATGGAGGAAGGAGACCACCACTATGCTCGTTTGTCGTCAACATCAGTTGCCTGGCCTCTCAAGAGAGCTTCAGTCTTTTAAAGAATCTTAGTGAAGCACCAGTAATCCTGGAAAAACTTGTCCCCGGCGCCAGTATCCCCCAAGGTGTGGCTCAGGCTGAGGAGGACAGGCCGTCCTGTGCCAAAGCACAGCTGTCCAGAAGTGATCCAAGGGGCTGGTGTAGGAAGGCGCACCTACAGTTACCCGTGTGCACATTACCGTTTTCCAGGTTCTCGCTGCTCTCGTAGCACCCGGAGTCTCGCGGCGAGCACCCACTCAGTCCCTGGCCGTCGACAAGCAGCTTCTCCTGGGACCCCGACTGGTCGCTGTTACCTACGGAGGGTAAATACATAGCATGGCATCAGAAGGGGAATGAAAATCAGAGCCCACCAAGTCCTGAGTTTATCCCGTTATCAAGGTACATTTTGAAGCCTCGGGCTTCTGGAAGGGAGCTAATTATTTTAAAGCGAATGACAAAAATGAACGGAGGAGGTCAGAACAGTCGTCTGTAAAGTATAACACGGTAATCCATTCAGAGGGAGATCATCTAGGGGCAGTTTGTCAGTGTCTGTTAAGTTACTCAGAGGGGGACTCTGGCCCGTCACGAAGGGGGGACGTTCAATCCGTGTCCTTTCCGAGGGATGGGACCACAGAGGGGATGATAAGGGAGAATATGCCCCTTTCACGAGCAGGTTATTAGGCCGTGGGCTTTTTAGAGAAATCGTTCAGCTGTGTCTTCCAAATTAAGTGGTACATGAAATACTGACTTTAGGAGCATTCTCAGGTCTTGGTGACAAGCTCTGGCTCTTGGATTCTTTCAACAGGAGTAAGGCTGGCAAATGGGGGGCATTAACCTCTAACCTGAAGGGGGCACAAGCTAAATCCTTTTGTTTTTGTTTGCTTGGAACATGCAAGAGGGTTTTCTTTCCTTTCTGCCTTCTCCCGTTGTTTTGGGTCAGGGTTTCTGTTCCAGGAACACAAAGGTCGGATGGGGAAAGCCTGGGAGCCCTCTGACCTGGACACTGAGTAATGGACACTCTTCAGGCGGGTGACTGGAAGCTGAATGTCCCCACTTTATTTTATTTATTTATTTATTTAAATGTTTTTTATTTATTTCTGAGATAGAGACAGCATGAAAAGGGGAGGGTCAGAGAGAGAGGGAGACACAGAATCTGAAACAGGCTCCAGGCTCTAAGCTAGCTGTCAGCACAGAGCCCGACGCGGGGCTCGAACCCACGAACCGCGAGATCATGAAGTCGGACGCTTAACAGACTGAGCCACCCAGGCGCCCCTGAATGTCCCCACTTTAAAGAAGCCTCTTAAGTACCTGATGTTTCTGTCAAGGGAAAGTCTAAAAGTCCATCACATGGGAAGTAAGGAGGGTCTTCATCACCCGCATGTTCTCCAACGCAGGCACGTGTGGGAGTGAGGTTACACGGAGAACGTGTCTGTAATACTGTTAATACTATGTGGAGGGGGCACTTGGTCCCATTAAACAGAGACCAAGAGAACCTTTCCTACATAAAACAACCAGTGCGTGATAAATGGCCTGGATTTACTTTCCTTTCTCTTCACGGCCCCTCCCCTACCACATAAAGAAAAACAAAACAGAATACTGACGTCTTTTCTCAGGTCATAAAAAAATAAGTTGCAGGAAGGTAGCCGACTGCATCCACAACGTATAGCTGTTCTACTCACCACTTCCTGTTGGCACTTCTCACATGGACAGCGTGTTAGGACACTAATCGTGGCAGAGGAACCCCTTGAAGCAGAACCACAGATTAAGAAGTGCTGTTTTTTGGAGGCACCTGGTTGCGAAGCGTCTGACTTTGGCTCAGGTCACAATCTCGTGGTTTGTGGGTTCAGAGCCTGGCGCCTGCTTCGGATTCTGTCTCCCTCCTTCTCTCTCTCTAGCCCTCCCCTTCTCGTGCTCTGTCTCACTCTCTTTCTCAAAGAAAAATTTTTTTAAATGCGGTTTTTTAAACTAATGAAAAATTAACAGGAAGCACAACGACAAAACGTTTACCTTCCCCCCAAACAAGAAGAAGAACATTCTGGAGTGATGTCCTCGTTCTGTGGAAGAGTCTGTGGATTTGAAGTGGCCTTTGTCCTAGCCTAGCATGTCATTTAGGAAAACGGTACCTATCAAATGAAGGCTCTTAACTACCAGTTACAACCCAGGAAGAGGAAGCAGTGCAGTTTGTCATCGGCGAGACCCTTCTGTGTATTATCGTTGCAGCCAAAACAGACCCCCCAGGTGCTGACCGATGGGGACAAGAGAGAACGCTGCCCCTGCATGAAAGGGCAGACTGTGTGTCCGTCTCCGGGATGCTGGCCTCACCGGACTCCAGCAGGGGGCCTGAATTCACGGGGAGCGAAGGGATCCCTCGTGTTGCCTCACAAAACCAGTTCAGCTGGTACAGTCACGAGGCATATGTCAAGGGTCTACGGTCACTTTATTAAAGAGCCAATAAGCAGCAACCCAACTATTAAGCTTAGCAAAATTCCCTAAAACTAAAGGCCAGTATTCGCCAAATAACGGTCCTCCTTCCGAGAGGTGGGGTGCGTGCCTGCTAGATGTACTGCGGATTCACGGCTGGATGCCCTCCCCCCACTTAATAGCGTGAATGCCACTGTACAAAGGACATGAAAGAAGGTGAGCTAGGGCCATGAACATTCTTCTCACAGTCAAATAAGCGTAGGGGTCTGGGGGCTGAAACCCTGTTTGGGGAGGACCTGAACTTGGGCCTGAAGCCCTCTCCCCGCCCCCACCTCAGTACACACACACACACACACACACACGGAGGAACAATGCGCTAAGACACTGTTCTGTCCAAATATCAAAAGGCGCTGGTGCACAGGCACCCACACCATTTTCTGGGGAGCAGTTGCCTCGGGAAAGACGAGGGGAGGGAGTGGCATTCTTGGAGAGCGGGCCTTTCAGCGAGCTTGTATTTCTTTAAAAAAGAATCGAAGCAAATATGCCAAAATGTTAACTTTAGTTGGATTTTGCATAGGTGGATATGGCTTTTTTTCCTCTGTACTTCTCTGAATATTAGAAATAATTGCTGATTAAAATATTTATTAATATTATTAACCACGAGCTTTTATTTGGCAGGCCTAGGGCAGTGGCTTTGGTATCAGTATAGGGAAATGCTGTCAGACAATTAGAGCCTTTCCCAGGCGGAACCCTGTGCAGAGGCCTGCGCTCCCCACGCACAGACGTGCGGTGAGAGGGACTGGCGGGTCTGACGGCGAGCAGCGGTGGGGAGGGGCTTCCCGCTCCTGTGGGTGGGAGAGCTGGAAAAGGTGCACGATCTGAGTAGATCTCTGGATCTGTCTGGGGCACAGAGATTGAGTTGGACAGAATCTATGGTGTTCCTCTTGGTTGTCAGTTATTTAGAATGTTACTTACATATAATGCATATAATGTGACTGCACCGAATATAAAATCTTATAATCCTGGGAAGAGTCTAGAGCCAGACCCTTGGCACTAACCAGCACTCGGGAGCCCCGGAAGCCTTTGTGTGTGTGGTTTTTAAATGTTTATCTTTGAGAGACAGAGTGAGCGAGAGTGCAAGCGGAGGAGGGACAGTAGGCTCCTGGCTCCGAGCCGTACGTGGGGCTCGAACACACGAAGTATGAGATCATGACCTGAGCCGAAGTCAGACACTTAACCGACTGAGCCACCCAGGCGCCCCTGAAGCCTTTGTTTTAGAACCAGTAAGAGGACAAGCTACTTTATACACTGCGCATAGTCTGAGCAGCGGTGCAGCGCAGATTTGAAGAAGGAAAGAGCCCTCCTTAGACTCTGAGTCTGCATCATGCTAGGTTCCCTCCTTCAAAATATCCCCAGGTACCAGCTTCAGGATGTGATCCCACGAGGACCAGTGACTCTGAGCCAGGGCAGCAGGACAGAGAACGCATGTCCGGCCTGTGTCACCCTGTGTGTTTGGCTTTGCTCCTATGTTCTGAGTGCCCTGGGAAACGTAAGGCACAGGGCTGATAAACCAGGTGTTCTCAGGGGCTGAGGAAGCGCAACTGAGCTATTTTATAGAGCAGCTGCGGTCCAGGAGACTAGGTGATTTAACAGTAATGGGTATTAGTGTAGCTGGCTGGCCACACCAGGCAGCGGGCCAGGAGGCTGTTTGTGGACAACCTGGCCACGGACCTCCAGGAGACCCTCCGACACCAAAGAGTCATGTTTATAAAGTGGTATTAACTATGAAACACAGTCCTCTTCAGATCTCTCCCTGAAGGCGGTGTGTTTATCTAGCATTCAGCCATCTCTTTGATGGTGTGTGGTCCTCTGTTATCCGTTAATTTAGAGGGAGGACCGATTAAGCAGAAGCGAATTTAACTGGACTGACTCGCTCGCTCCCATGTCTCTTGGGCCCGATACATTCAGTAATGTATCTATTTCTTTCCCACCATTAACCATGGTTTTGGTTTGTCTTTTAGCTATAGAACTGCTATTAGCTAGTGAAGCAGGGCACTTGAAAGAAAATGCATTTGAATTCAGTAACTAGGAAGGATACTCTCCTCGTGATGCATAATTTCAGGAATATTTTTGATGCCAGACTGAAGAATAAAGAGCAAGAGAAGACTAGGTTAATGGAGCAAAGGATACAGTGTATTCAAATAGACTACATAAAAGCTGTGCGCTTACTGAATGCTGCCCATGGACTATAAAAATGAGCTATGACTTCGGCTGAGAATTTGCAGTGTGGAATCTCTACATATTCATTTCAGAAACTTCCTGCTTCAGTGGAAGCCAATGAATGTCCTATATTCATTAACCCTCCTATTCAATAAGAGAACAGTCCCGGTGTGCTTTGGGAAGTGATTAACCCTTGGCTGGGCAAGATACTCCCGGTATTGTCTGTTACCTTTGCGTGTCCTGACAGCCCGCTGAGGCTATACATCCCATGGTGCCTAAGGTGGCATCTACAGGGTTAAGAAAACCTCAACTTGGGCACCTGGTGGCTCAGTCTGTTAAGCATCCGACTTCAGCTCAGGTCCTGATCTCGTATGAGTTCAAGCGCTGCACTGTGCTCTGCGCTGACAGTACAGAGCCTGCTTGGGATATTCTTTCTCTCGCTTGCACATGCCCTCTCTTCCTCTCAAAATAATAAACTTTGAGGCATCTGGGTAGCTCGGTCGGTTAAGTGTTGGACTCTTGATTTGGGCTCAGGCCATGATCTTGCGGTTTGTGAGATCGAGCCTCAGAGCAGACTCTGTGCAGACAGTGCATAACCTGCTTGCGATTCTCTCTCCCTCTCTGCCCCCCTCCCCTGCTTGTGCTCTCTTTGTCTCTCTCAAAAGAAATAAACTTTCACCAGGGTGGCTCAGTCAGTTAAGCATCTGACTTCGGCTCATGTCGTGATTTCACGGTTTGTGGGTTCAAGCCCCACATGGGCTCTGTGCTGACAGCTCGGAGCCTGGAGCCTGCTTTGGATTGTGTCTCCCTCTCTCTCTGCCCTCCTCGGCTCACTCTCTCTCTCTCTCAAAAATTAATTAATTAAACTTTAACAACATAAATTAAAAAAGGATTTTTATAAAAAAAGAAGACACCGCAATTCAATGCTCACTTAGAGCAGCACTTTCCTCAAATGTTACCTAGAAACACCAGGAAAGGGGCCAGCCTACGGTTTTCTTTTGCTCCCACATAAACCCGAAGGGCTACATTGGGAATTCACGCCTCTGTGCTGTTTGACACAGTACAAAACTGACCCTGGCTTTGGATCGAGTAGGACCAAATGAATGACTAGAAACCTGAGCATGCAGCTGCTCTAACGAGGTACACGTGTGTACCGCGAGGGACTTACTGTCATATTCTTGTAACAGCTCCACCGCTGTCAAGAGAACGGCCCTGTGTTCCGGGTCCCGGATGTTTAACTCATCCAAGTCTTCCTCCTCCAGGAGCTTAAAGGTGTCCAGGTCTTCATAGCCATTGAACAGGAAAGTGGGCATGTGCTCCTGTGAGGGAGGGAGCCATGGGAGTCAGCAAGCTTGTGATTCTGGGCCCGCAGCCAGCCTCGAACCCCTAAACTCTTTCCACAGTCCCTTTCACATACCTGGAGATCCCTAAGCATCGTTTGTAATCTGTTCTGTACCTCCCAGCCCTACAGCTCAGCAGGCACACAGGGCATTTCATTAATCAGAGGTTAAGAAGATGTACCTTGCAGGCTGAGATGGACCCCACTGGCTTGCATTTTAACTGTGCCCTTGGCTATGACTGAGGCCCCTGATGCACCAAAGTGCACAGTCAAGGAGACTTCCAGGAGCAAGAGGGTCTTGCAGGGGGGAGACCAATCTACTGCTGTGGCCCCGGCTCACTAGATCCTGAGAGGGACCGGGGGCGTGAATCCTCATGGTCTGAGGAGCTGAGCAAGCAGGGCGCCAGGGGTGTGTGTTTACAGCACTTCCTGGTAGCGGCTCGGAGCTCCAGCTCTTCGAAAGCTGTTCTTGGGGCTAACAGCAAATTCTGACCGGGAGGTCACCCACAGCAGAGGTCGATGGCTGCGTTAGAATACTGGTACCTATTTCTCTGTAGAATAATGGATACGCATCATAGTAACGGGCAGCCCTTGTTGGCTGACATAGATCGCCCCCTCCCCTTCCCTGCAAGTGCCCTTGCTTAATTTCGGAAAAGGAGAAGGCACCAGGGAGCCGTGTATGACCAGAACAGGAAGAAACTGACTTTCAGGTTGATCCGGTCGAGGAGATCCTCCACAGATTTGGGCTGCGGTGGTCTTCCTTTCCTCCTCCTCCTGGTGGGGCGCTTGGGCTTCTCTTCTTCCTCATTCAGCACATCGACATAGATGAACTTGAATGTGCCGACCTTGTTGTTCAACAGTCCCATCCAGGTGCCCATGGGTGGCTTGCTGATTATATCGATGATGTCTCCTTTCTGTGGCCCAGGGAACAAAGAGCTTTCCATTAGGTACATCTCTAGGCATGAACCATGCACCAGTCAGATGTGTCAGTCACACAGATGAGAACCTACAACGAAGGCCAGCATCAGGGTTCCACAGGTGACCGTCCGTGACAGGGGGCTTGGCAGAGAGCCAGCGCTCTCCAGACTCGGCTAGACTCCTTGCAGGCCTGAGGTCTCATGCTCCTCTCCCCCCCTTCACCACAAGGTGAAATGTGGCTGACACATCTCTTGGTGCTTATGGCTAGGTGGCACCTGGCTGGCTCTCTGGACGCCTGGCCACCATCCCGAGCTCCTACTTCCTAGGGAAGGAACTTCCCAGCGATCAGATGCCGGCAGCAAGCCCTGTCCTGTAACCATGTCCTAAGCTTGTGCGGTTCCAGCTGTCCCGTAACAGCCTCACTGGTCAGTCACACACAGAGAAGGCAGGCAGGTTTCTTCAGCTGGAGGAAGCACAGAAACTGAAAGGGCAGGGTGGGGTGGGGGGGGGGAGGGCAACAGGAATTCTAAAAGGAAGCTGAGGTCAGAGGTAAGGACTGGGGGAGGAGATGGTGACGACAGAGGGTTGACACAAGACCCACCTTCGTCCTAAGTGCTAGCTGGGTTTTGTTTTTTTCTGTACAGACGAGACCAGTTTATCACAGTAGCCAAGATACCGGCACCCCAACATTGACCCAGGATTCAACAGTGAGGAAAACAAAAGACGCCTCAAAGAAACAAAGGAACAGCGCGAGGCCAGGCAGAGACACACCTTGAGCTTGAGCGAGTCCGTGTCATAGGGACTAGGTGTGAAGTCGGTGTGCACCCTGGCGCGCCCGCAGAAGGGGCCCCGGTAGGGAGGCTCCTCGTCATCACCATCTTCTGACTTGACGCTCTCCCTGTTGCTGGTTGAGGAATCAGTGGTACTTACTGTCTGACCGCCTGCACAGGAAAAAATAGGAAGAACCAGGGTAAATACAGACTTCCTATGTAGCAGAGCTTAAAGGCATTAAAGGTTATCACAGATTAGGAAATTGAGGGACACAGCTGGGAAGTCACAAGCCACAATGGTTATGTGAGGACCACAGCAAGGCTGGGTTGTAAGTCCAGGGGATCTGAACTTCCTGGTGGCTATCCCTAATCCACCACCTAAATGGACAGAGGACTCCAGCAAGTTATCATTATGACCCCATAGTTACGCTTATGGTCACAGACTCCCTAACGGAGGACACCATAAGCCTTCAACATTCATAACCTCTCAGGCATACTGTTTTTACCCCATTTTACAGACGAGGAAACTCAAAGAAGTCAAAGAACTGGCACAGGGCCAGGTGCTCTGAAAATGGTGGGTTTAAATTAGTCTCCTCCCCCATACCATTTGGCGATATCACCCATTAGTCCTGGAGTGGTTGAATGGTGCCCGTTGCCTGTGACATTTATAATTCTTTCCCCTCCCCCACCTCTTACGTTGCTCATTTCATGAGCCTTTCCCCTTGACTTACTCCCCTCCATTCTCCAGATCCTTCCTCTGAGATGCTTTCCCTAGTTTCTCCAATCAAAATTCATCACCCTCTTCTTGTGCCACTGCTGTACATCTGCTATGGCACAAATACAACTCTAGGTCCCGATATCTTACAGGTCTAACAGCACCCTAAGGGGGGGAACTTGGTCTTATTTATCTTTTGACTGCCTGATCCTGATGCTCAGTAAAAGTCTGATTTGGACTCCAACGGAAACCATCTATAGTGACAAACTGGACGCACTCATTGAGCTCTGGCCACTCAGAGAACTCCGCAGACTCTCAACAGAACCGCCGGCTTTGAGCTTCGGCTTGTCCATGTGTTCACTGTCAGGCTGTGAAGACGGAGGGGAGCCGGGCATTCCCTCCAGGCCTGAGTCCTGAAATGGATTTCAACAAAATTAATTGCATCAGAGTGACGGGTGCCCTTTCATAATTTGAAGCAATTTAGCCCTCAGCTAAATCAATCAAATCCATTTTTATCCCCATATTCGATTCTGCACCCCAAATCCTCCTCCTTTTTAATCTGTAGCCTTCAGTTTAAAGTTGTGGCTCACGTAACTCAATCATTCTTCATGCTCAAATAGTCAGTCTTAAAATCTCCAAAAAAAAAAAAGATCGACCTCTTAGAACATTTTATTAAAGGCTTAGAGACATGTAGCATAGTCTTTAGGTTGCTAATAACAATGGACTGCAAATGCAGATCAAGTACAATCTACCAGTAATGTACGATTTGGAAGTACTATCAGAAAATATTTAATCTGAAGGGAAATGTTTATACTTTAAAGCAAAAAAAAAAAAAAAAAAAAAAAACCCGAAAATCCAAATTCTTCTTCTGTTTACATAAATTATTAAAATTAGCTAATGAAATAGCAATTTAGGATACAAGTATTTAACAAAAATATCTTTTTTTTTTTTTTTTGGTCTGTAATAAAATTTCTATATGTCATCTGTGGCTTTAGCTTCTTTCACATCCTTTATGTGTTGTTAGTTAAAAGCTGTGCAGTCCCTTTCAGATCAGAATGAGGACAGCACTGATTCAGCAGTACTTTTCACTTTTGGGGTGGCGGTGTAGTATTAGCTTCGGGGACCCTCATTTGCACATGTTAAGTGTTGCACATGTTAAGTATAGCACGCTCATTTGATTAGTGATACTATACAGATAGGCAATATCATGCTTCAAAAAGTTTGTAGTCAGAATGGTTTACTTGCCAAAACATAGCACTTTCTGGCACATCACATAGCCACGTGAGGACAAAACCATCTAAATGAAACCTGTTATTTGCATGGTGCTGAATCATCAGAAGGGCTTTGATGCGATTCTGTGGGTCCTGCAGACATTCAAGGACAACAGTAATGGGAGCCTCTGACCCAAAGCACATTTTTGTTTTTTGTTTTTTTTAAGTAGGCTCTATGCCCAACCTGGGGCTTGAACTCAATCCGTGAGATCAGGAGTCATGTGTTCTACCAACTAAGCCAGCTAGCCCTCCCACCCCCACAGTTACGCTTTACATTTAAGGAAAGTGAGCAAACAACCCCCAAAACAAATATAAACAGAGGTGCCACCACTGAGGAGTAACTGAAGCTGTGAAGTATGAATTCCTGAAAATATTTTCATTCCTCTTTCTGAATCATCAAGTAAGTCATCTTTCCAATTATCTTTTTAAAAGTTTTTTAAAGTTTGTTTATTTTGAGAGAGAGAGAGAGAGAGAGAATGTAAACAGGAATGGGGCAGAGGGAGAGAATCCCAAGCAGTCAAGCACTGTCAGTGCAGAGCCCAACTCGGGGCTCGATCTCAGAAACCATGAGGTCATGACCCGAGCTGAAATCAAGAGCCAGACACCCAACCACCTGAACCACCCAGGTGCCCCTCCAATGATCTTCTTTAGTGCTTTTGTGAAAACACCCATTTTGAACAACAGCAATATGAAATATACATCTCTGATCCTGTCTGTTCTCAATTACTTTTATTAATTTATTCATCACATATTTACTGTTTACCTGTAAAGAGGTACTATTCTAGGTGCTGAGCATACAGCAGGGACAGAGCAAAGATCTTGACCATAATGGTTGATATGTCTACTAAAATGTTTAAAAATAAACCTTGCAACATTAGTTTTCTCTCTACAAAGAACGTTATAATGATCATTTATTCCTTTTAACGTAAGTGAAATGACTGCTTCAAAAAAGTAGAGAATTAAGACTAGAAGCCTGCTTTGTACTAGCATAATTCTAGAAAGTGGCTGAAGTTGACATTAAAGTTCTCTGCTCATGATGCATAAAGCAGAAACCCCTTAAGAATGCAAGTGTATAAGAGCTTTTAGTGGATGTTTCAAATCAGGGGAATAACGTGCTTTAGCTTCGTGGCACTGCTTGCAGTGATGGGCGTGGCGTCTGCTTCACGGGAGACAGCAGTTTGCCTCACTGCTGTGCAGAAACCTAGAATCGCCACTGCTCCCGAGCCCACAGGGACGAAGGGAAGACATACAGGAGGCAGCCTACACCTCTCCTGTAGGTCTAACAAGCCAGTTTCTCAACCTGAGCAGTCAGCATGGTGGATCTGTAACTGCTGTGGCGAGCTGTCATAAAAGGTTTACCAGCATCTCTATCCTCTGTCTACTAGATGCCAGTGGCACCCAGCCTGCCCCACTCCCACCAGTTGTGACCATCAAAAATGTGCCCAGTTGGAACGGAAACAAAATCTGTACACACACCCGTCGTCCCCTACAAGAACCACTGGAATAGGCTGAAGATACTGGGTGGGCTTCGTCTGAATCACAGTGCAGGCCAGTGGCTACCTGGTGTTCAGGGACTCAAACAGGGGAGATGTTTGGATTCCAGCTTCCTACGTCCACTAGAGGGCAGCAGCTGAGCAAAAATGTCTGCTTTCCCTGTTTTTATTTGGTAGATAAAGCAGCATTACCTAAATACTTCAAGTTGACAAACGTCTCCAATGCTATAAAGGTGCCAGAGGAAAGGAAAGTCAAAAGGTCAAAATCACCTCAAGGCCCAATCTCCAAATGCCCTTATTTCCTCCATCCATAGGATTAGAACAGGAACTGATCATGTTTCTACTGATGAAATCCGAGAATGGGAAGGGCTCTATTCTGTGCTACCTTAATGGCCACGGACAGGTTCAGTCAATGAAAACACCCCCTGCAGAAACAACTACTATCAGAAGGTCCCCTTGCTAGGAGGTTTAGAGCAACTTACTCTACCTGATTTGAAAAGTTCTGCTATCTAAGGAAACCTGAGTATCTTTTTGAGGTTTGATTCTGGTGATCCATTTTGTAGCAAGGGATAGATATTCCATCAAATAAAATCCTTCTGTATCAAGGCAGGGCATCTAGTATCCCCAGCGCTATGCATGGACTACCTTAAGTGCTGATGTTTACTGAATCTTTGAATAAATTATTGAATAGATGTCAACTGAACTTCTGTGTCCACAAACTAAGCATCATCCTGGAGCCTGGTTAATATCAATGAACGTATTTGGCACCATATCCAATCACAGACTGATCACCCTTGGCTTGGCTCTCTGCTTAGGACTTCCATACCTGCTCAGAGACAGAGCTGCTGTATTTTTTAGACATTCTCTTCCTCATGGTCTCTTTCACAGATTTCACCTTTTTTCCAAGAGAGATGCGGGAGGCAGTGGGTGATTTGATAACTTCTTTGTACACAAAATCTCCTTCTTTACTCTGCAAAACAAAGTGTTGTAAATACCTTTAATCACAGAAAAAGGAAGCCCAGAAACAGATTTTATTATTCAAACCATCACGGTTCTACCTTTCAGAAAAAAGACTGGCATCCCCCAGGACCTGGAGATTTTTCCTGGGTTAACTCGGTGCTGCTATTTGTCTTTTTGACTGAAAATTAAAAGCTACTCGCTAAGGCCCTTTTGTATATTTGTTTGTTTAAAGTGGGATATGGGTCACTTACTGTTTTTTAACCTTAGTATATTCTTCTCCTATTATACTTTTCCTCATCGTTTTAGATACCCAAGGGGACCGCGTTTCACTGATAAAGAGCAATTTAAATGAACCAATGTTCACATAATCCCAGCAGCAGGCAAGAAGAGAAGGATACTACTACTGAATCACCCCGGCGGGGGGGGGGGGGGACAAAATGGCAAATCTCGGTCACTGGCAGTCCCACATCTGATTGGACTTGCGGCATTCTAGAACTCCATGCGGTCAACTGCTAAGACTATGTACATTTCCTTCCCTGAACAAGACTGTGGTCACCTCTCCTTCTATTTTACGTTCAAAGAAACAACTTTCCCCTGAGAAGGGATAAAGAAATGCTACTTCCTCTCTCATGTTTTTTTGTAAAGATTGGCTACATGAAATTACTGGCTTATGAATCAATAAAGTTTGATATCCAAGTAAAATAGTGTTATTCTTCTAGGAAATTCTCAAACACTTGAAAAATCACAGATGGGTATTTTAGCTGACACATGATATATATTCACAAATACAAAGCATGGAATTGTAATTTCATAGTTTCAGGCCAGATGCATAAAGGGGAAACAAAACTGTAGGTAAAATTCACCTACATCCTGGGAGCCTCAGAAAGGAAACCTTAGGGAACGGAGTTTGTGCACCACAGTGGTGGCCTGTCCCCAGAGAGATCCAGAAGCAGATCTCAGGCAGCTGGAACCTTGGCTCTGAAGAGTCAGGGTTGGTTTGGGTCCAAGGATACTGGGTTCATTCCAGGACACCCCAGATCAGAAAGACCTAGACTCATCACACAGAGCCATGCACTTGGCCTGTGAGAAGACTGGTTTCTTAGAAATGTGGGCACTTCCTGTTGGACCCTGATCACAGGGCTCCATCCTGTCACACTTCCTTTGTGTGGTGGTCGTGTGCACTTGCTGCCAGTGTGAGCAAAAAGCATGTAGGCTAAGACCGCAGAAGCCAAACTCCTCTGGCTTTGTGACTTGAAGAAAACCGGAATCAAAGGCATCACCATCAATGGAGGTGGTCATCATTGTTCTGCATGGAACAGCAAAGCATCTCTAAGATGGGTACTGAGGAGCTTCTTTCCAAATATGATGTAGGATCACTGATGTTACCCACAATCATTTCTCAAAGGCACTAAATGTGAAACTCAACCACATGCTTGAATCCAAACCTTTCTGCGTTTTCCTCTGATGTATACGCACCATTGGGTCAGAATTGTTGCTGCCAATGTGTAGAGAACGATTCGTTAAGTCAAATCCTCCAAAACTACAGGTTCTCTGTGGAAAGGAGAAGGCGGGGCAGGAATAATCCAGTTATGTTTACGTCGGCCAGGGGTTCACCAACCCATTTCCCATTTGCGGGACAACCACCGAATCACAAGTATGTCACAGGATGAAAAAAGGAAAACAAGAAATGATGAGGAAAAAAAAATAAATGATTCATGTTTTAAGGAAATTCCCCTCATTTTGCCTTTCCATAGGCCACTGGAACTGTGCCTATACCAGAGGTCTCGAATCCCCTTAACTTGCAAAACCCAACTGGTTAAAAAAAAAAAAATACAACAACCAAACAGCACCCATGTGTTAGGTGCTGTAAGATTCCCTGTGTCTTAGCAACAGAACATGCCCTTCTGGTCCCCTGATATCAGCTGCCTACAGTAATGACGACGAGGGAATATGTATTAGGGGATCCATGTGCTCAAAGTGGTCTCAGAAACCCAGGTCTGGAATCCTGTACAGCTCTATCACTGACAGCAGGCTTTTCTAACAGACTTGTTTTGCTTGGTTTTAAATCGCTGAGAAGGGGAAAGAAGGTTATGTTTATAGTAGTACAATCAAGCCAAGAGGATTACTCACTCATTGCTTCCTTGACCTAGCCAAAAATGCTGCTAACTTTCCCAGCTAACTGCCCAACTTAACTAATCATGACCCTTTTACTCAGAGTGTATGAAGACACTGCATTTGTCCAGAAAGAAAAGGTTGATTCAGTGACTGTCTTTGACCACACTCCTTAATTTCAATAGGAAAAAAATGCTGATGTTGTAAAGAATGAAAAACCTTATTGTCCTTTAACTGGTTTCCAACTTTATGGAACTGCTTATATTTCGGTAGTTTTATATTTCAAAACTTGCTTTGAACTCTGTTGTGTTTCCAGCAAAAGCTATTCAATGGCTACTCCCTCCCCCGCCCCCAAAAGTCTGTACGGCAGACTCATTTTCATTACAGCGGATTCACTTTTGAAGCAATTGGTAATAAAAGCTGAGTAGCAGATCTGGGTTCCAATATTTTATATTGCTTCCCAAAGAAGTCTACGTAGCAGCTCTTCCATGGAAGAAATGAGCAGAAAAGCACAGCGCATACTAGAAACATAGCTTGCCCCAAAGAAATATACTTGAGATATGCATTAGCTGACTTGAAAAAGCGGAAACATCTGGGAAGGAAATTGTCATGGTCCCTGGGATCACACAGGTTGCCCTGGTCCTGCCACTTACTAGTCGGGGGACAGGCAGAGTACTTAATCTCTCTGAGCTTTGGTTCGTTCAGGAGTAGCAGACGTGCTCTGAGTGCTGAGCTTTCACTTTTCATCAGGGCTGCTCGGAGGAACTGGTAGCTTGTTCCAACCAATTACCATACCCGAGTTGAGGCTTAGTCAAAAATTCTAAGTATGTAAATGAAGGACTGAAGCTTAGTTCTGGGCCTTACATTCTGGGAGCTTCCACTGTAAAACCAGAGCCTCTCAGGCATGAACCAAAAGGTGAGAGATGGCAGGCAGTGTGGGGCAGAAGGGTGGGGCCAGGACAGAGAAGTGGGATGGGAGGGAGGTACCTGGCGATAACCAAATTCAGGATGTCACACAGCTGTCTTTCTCCTTCACCAAAGCTGTTTGTTGCTGGTTCAAATAATCCACCATGGACATCATTCTAATTTTATATCAGATACACATGGACTCTCTGATCTTCCTTAGAGTCAACCTAACTGTATTCTCTTCTATAAAAAGTGAGGGGTGCCTGGGCAGCTCAGTCGGGTGTCCGACTTGGGCTCAGGTCATGATCTCGCGGTTTGTGAATTCAAGCCCCATGTTGGGTTCTGTGCTGACAGCTCAGAGCCTGGAGGCTGCTTCGGGTTCTGTGTTTCCCCCTCTCTCTGCCCTTCCCATGCATGAGCTGTCGCACTGTATCTGTCTGTCAGTAATAAATAAATGTTAAAAAAAAAAAAAAAAGAAGCTAAAGACCTCTTCATACAAAAACATTCGTCAAATCCCCTAACCTGGCGAGCAATGTTATGACCACCTCTCAAGGCTAATTTTTAACATTTCCTTTTCCTTTCCAGCTTATAATGCCAAATGGGTTTTTGCATTTTCGCAAAAGCAGTGATTTTATTCTAGTTCCTTTCCTGTGACTCAGGGCTTTACAGATCTAGTATGGCGCCCAGATGCCTCATCATTTTATGGCTTCTGCACTTCCTTGCTTTAAATTCCAGCATCGACTGCAACACTGGAGCCCAGCACGTACTTTCTGATGCAGATGAAATAACCGAGAAGGAATTTATGTGGAAACTTTAACTGCAATAACTGCAATAAATTAGAAGCTCATTTATGTCTTCATATACCAGCTGCATGCATTTATTCCTAAAATAAAAAGCTTAGTATGAAGAGTGAGCTGGGTTTCTTCACTACCAACTAAAACCCCTCCCGGTGATATGCTAAGATGTCTGGAACAGACTCTTCCTAAGGAGTGGGGGACAGACAAAGCATATAGTAATAAATCTGGCTTGAACGAGTCTTCAACTTTTTCTGTATTATGAAGGAATTCTTTTTTTTTTTTTTTTTTAAATTTTTTTTTTAATGTTTTATTTATTTCTAGGAGAGAGAGAGAGACAGCGTGAGCGGGGGAGGGTCAGAGAGAGAGGGAGTCACAGAATGAAACAGGCTCCAGGCTCTGAGCTGGCAGTCAGCACAGAGCCCGACGTGGGGCTCGAACCCACGAACGGCGAGATCATGACCTAAGCGAAAGTTGGACGCTTAACCGACTAAGCCACCCAGGCGCCCCTGTATTATGAAGGAACTCTTAAAACAGCATCCCTTCAACAAAGAAAACAAACTGTAGAGAGAACAGTAGAAGTAAACCAATCTTTGGCTTTGGTGGTCCGCAGAAATGGAACCGAAGTGAGGTTTCTTAAGGTCTTTGTACCTCCTATACATGTACCTATAAGAACACTTTAGATAGATGCTTGTGGATGAGGAGCACCGGTCGATGGGATGGCCATGCAGTTGAACACATGTTTTGGGTGGTGTGGGGGTTGGATTTTAAAAATGGACAAAATTCCAAAATGTCATGCATACCTATTCCCCCAAACAAAAAGTTCAATGACCAAATAACAAGAAGACAAGTGATCATTTCCAGTGAAATACAGCATTATCATTTCCATGAGGTTTCATCAAGCAAATATGGCATTTTTGAAAGACAAAAGGACCAAGTTTGAAGAGTAAAGGAAACTGTGCACTTCTGGATATAGTGGAGGAAACAGACAAGAAAGATGGGGACGGAAATCAGTTTAAGGAAACCAAGCAAAGAAGAGTAAAGGAAACTGTGCACTTCTGGATATAGTGGAGGAAACAGACAAGAAGGATGGGGGCGGAAATCAGTTTAAGGAAACCAAGCAAAGAAATTATCTTAATCCCGTAAAACCAAACCAAAACCAACCAAAAATCCCCAAAAGACTCTGTTGTTAAAATGCTTATTTGCCCTTACAGTTCTCTAAGTAGAAAGTGCAATTTTATTTTCCTGACTGTACACTTAAACTTAACAAGAAAAGGTACATGCAAATTTCTAATTTAGCCTTGAACATAGATTTTAGCAAGTATTAGAACTGTCCAATACTACCTCAGACTCAGACCTTAAAAATATGCAGCCTGGGGTGACATCTGGGATAGGGGGTGCCACCATTATAGGGGGTAAAAACTTGGTGCTTGAAAAGAAGCTCACCCCATGTCCATACTCAATGTCATGAAGAATTAATCACTGGCACACAATTTAATTAGCACAGATCTTAGAAATATAATGTCTAGAGAGAAAGTCTTGAAGAAGTTACATTATTAACCTGGTAATTAATATGGGAGACTCATGAGCAACTGAAGGTACTCAAGGTGGAAAAATTCTCAGTATGACATGATTTAAGCTCATTGGGAGACCAATTAACAGAGCTGAGGTGGATGTGTTTTATCAAGGTCACGTGCAAAGGTACAGAGGCAGATGAACTGGGCAGAACACTTCTGAAGTGAATAAATTATACCAAGATCGGTTCCACCACATCATCCTACGGAAGACCTATAGGTCAGAAGTGAATGAGTAAGAAAGAGGATTCCATTGTTGTATAACAGACAGAAACCCAACCACAAACTATGGCGATGATGGAGAAAGAACCAGGTGGGAAGTTGTCACTAATAGTATTAATGCATTACAAGATGCGTACGAATGACAAAAGATGGAAAATAAGCTCTACCACGAGAGTTGACCCATGTGGGAACATCGGAAGACTAGGATGGATGAACCTAGCGATCCTTTTGGAACTGAGGTCATTTTAGGGATGGCATGGACCAATAAGTCTCCATATCTACCAAAAGCAGAACTTGAATGAATGAATGAATGAATGAATGTAAGTTACAGTAATCGTCTGGGGAAGAACATCGCATGCATGAGTGGGAAGGAGCCCGGGAAAGCCCCCATGGGAGGCTGCAGTACGCTCCATTCCTTCAGACCCTTAAAGGGGGCTCAGCCAGCAGTCGCAAGGGGACAGAGGACAGGAAGCCCACAGCTCTTCCTTGCTCTGTGCCGTTTTATATGGGTTTCCATGCAAGCCAAAAGTTGGGAGGGAATTTCAGAGGGAAAATGCCTAGATTCTCGAGGCTAATACAAGTCATGCCCTAAAAAGTCAATCTTACTAGGTTTCTGATAATTCAGTAATAAAACTGAAAAACATTTTTGAAAATAAGTACTAAATTCCTTGCTATGTATAGAAGAATTTATGGGGTAGGGGAAGACATGTCTGAATGTCTTCTGTTTAAGATAGAACATCAAATAGACTTAACTAAAGCAAAAGAGCTCTAATATTTTTCCCCCTTTACATTTAAGAACTTTCTGGTTGGCACTGCTAATAAAAGAAATGTACTTTATGAATGTTTTCAAATCACCAAATTGGTGATTCTGGTGATGGTAGTCTTTCATTGAGCCAGTTTCTATTGTTTTAATTAAATGAAAGAATAAGCAACTCTTTTAAGGGCAAAATGTCCTTCTGTTCTGAATCAGATTCTTTGAGGTCAAGTGACGTGATAACTGGGAACCAACACAGCCTAGAAGGAGGCCAAACCCCACCCCTGGACTCTGAAAGCCCTTCTCTGGATCGTCTTCAGTGTTCAGTTTTAATTAAAAACCAAACAGCTTCCACGAGCAAGAGGGCGAATGGGAAAGAAGAAGCCATTACTAAGCGAAAGCAGGTTTAGACATTCGAGGTGATGGCGGAATGGACCCTGAAGTCGTGAAATTATGAGAAGAGAGGGGAAGATGCCAGGTTCCACGGAAGAGAGGCCATAATGCTTGACTGCACATCACAGAAATGACAAGGCCGTCCTGGGGACCATCTTTGTGACTCACGGACTTCTGGTGGATTCTCAAGAGAACCCTTTTAGTACAGCGGTCGACCGTGGCGGCCCACTTCCTCTTGGTCTCCTCATCCTCCTCCAGCAAGCACCGCCTGAGGTCCTGTCTCTCAGCCTTGCTCAGAGTCCTGTCCGAGGCAGGACGCACTAGCTGGGTCAGGTTCAGGTGGCTGTACAGGCTCCGCTCCACCACGTAGGTGATATTGAACTCGCTGACCGAGGGGCGCCCGCGTACCCTCCTGCTGGGGATGCTGCAGCTCCCTCCCCCTTTGGGTTTCTGCCGGAGCAGGTCACAGGTCACACTGTTGACTCCTTTTCTGGAGGGACGCTGGCAGAGAAAAGCTCTGGAACATGAATAGTTAGTATCCATTTTCTTCAAGCGGATTTGCTTCCGGACACTCTGAACCTCCTCCAGGGACACTAGAAGGTGGTGCCTACGCCGGTGGTGGTCATAGAAGCAAACACCATCCGTACTTACCCCATGGCTCAGGGACCCGAGACTCTTCTTCATCTCCCCCTCAGTTAGCGAGCGGGAGACCTTCTGGGCCTTGTCTTCTTCTGGGTAGGAGAAGAACGTCCCCATCTTCTTGGGGGGCTTAATCAGGCCCCGACTCTCTCCTTTGCTGAAGGTTTTGACCAACTTTCGGCCAGCTCCCCAGGTATCCAGGCTGCTGGATGATGGAGAGGTGGTGAGAGAGTCTGAGTCATCTTCTGGAGGTTTCTCAGGAGAGCCATCAAAGAAAAATGGCTTCTTGTGTACTCCAGAATAAAGGGCGGACCTCTCGTCCAGAACTGGGGAATTCTCAAACACGTGCTCCTCTCCGCCTGGAGGGAAATCAACACAGAGGTGTTCATGGTCTCTTGTGAACATGCTTCTCCATTCTCTCACAGGTCTTTCTTTCCTCACAACTCCCGCCCTACAAAAAATGAGCTCATCCTCACAGAAACCACAGTGGTCCCCTCCCCATATCACTTACCCTCTTTATAAGCCCAGTTCCCACTTAAATGATGCATCCCCACAATAACAAACTGTGCAAATGTAGGGCTTCACACAAGCTTAATGTTAAAAGGTGTTGGGTGTATTTTCTTCTCGTTCTTTACAATATCTCTGTAGAACAAATGCCTGAAGAAATCTAAAAATGCCACGTGGAAAACCTAATGCAGTCATTATCATGATATTCCGTAGCCCTTAGCATGTAAAGATAATTAACCCCGCCCCCAAAATATGATTACCCTCCCTGGGCAGCAGGAGTACTCCTCAGAAGCTAGGAATGGAGATCTTCCCCCTTCTGAACGGCCTCCTGTTGAGTCTGGTTGGTTTTTCATAGTGGCAATGTGATGAATGCCACGTGGCTGACAGTGGTTTTTTTTGTTTTTTTTTTTTTTTATTGATACATGTGCCATTTAAGTAATTAAATCACGAAGGCAGTCTGGGTGCAGAGACACCATACAGGGCAATAGCGTGCAAACGCAACTCACAAATGGTCTCCAGTTGACAAGCCAAACACGAAAAAGTTAGGGAACTGGGGGATTCCAGCAAGACATTGCCATCAACTGGCCCTGCTGGGAGACAGCAAGGGCATTTAAGGGCCTGGACACGCAGGCAGCCTCACGGAGTGTTCCACTCTGTTCCAAGGATTCCAGCTCTTGAAGCCTTCCCTGGAGCAAGGTATTGAGCCAAGCTCTCCGGAGCCCAGTGGAAAGCTTTGGACTCACTGGCAGGAAAACGGAGTTCTTTTCTGCGTGTGTTATGTGAACAGATGTGAAAAAGAAGTAGGTCAAACTGTGGGTGTAGTGATCCTAACTGGCTGTGTCCCTTTAATTATAAGGAAACTTTTGAGCGCTGCAGCTTTCCACCAGCTGAACTGTGAAGAGGAAAAAATACAAAGTTCCTTGGAACGGAGGGATGGCCCTAAATATATCAGCCGGGATGAGGGCGCCGGTGCGTGCTTAAATGTCAGAGCGAACTGCTCACTTCAGAGAGAGGAAGGATGAAAAGATTGAGAGAAGCCCTTTAAAATTCTAAAGGTTTCTTACTTTTTCAGCTGATGGGAGTTATTACAAATATAAAGGAAAACAGAATTGCTGTTATTAAATACAAATCACGATTGATTTTTACATCAAGGAGATAGTGATGGGGAGGGAGATTTGAAACTATGTCCAGCCCAAAGTTTTCCATGATCTGCAGCACAAATGTATTCCCTGAAGGACTATTCTCAGATCTTTCATGAGTTTTTTTTTTTTTTTCTTAATTCATTTATTTTGAGAGAGAGCACAAGCAGGAGAGAGGCGGGGGGCCGGGCGGGGGGGGGGGGGGCGCGGTGACAGAATTGCAAGCAGGCTCCACGCCATCAGCAGAGAGCCGTCATGACACAGGGCTTGAACTCACAAACTGTTGAGATTGTGACCTGAGCCGAACTCAAGAGCTGGATGCTTCACCGACCGAGCCACCCAGGCGCCCCCTTTCATGAGTATTTAAAAGCAAAGTATAGTCAAGTGCTGACAGGACTTTGCCAGACCAGAGGCAGTGTGCAAATATTGTGAAAGTTTCCTGCTCTTTCCTCAGGAGCCCTGACTAATAAGGTATGAAGACCAAGCGTCCTTCTGTTGTTAGAAGTAACAATGGCCTCTTCTAGATGCGATCCACCCTCCTCTCTCAGAACGAAGTGACAGGGCCAAGATGAGAGGCACAGCCTGGTGGCGGAGGCACACCAGCACTGCCCTGCTCTACAGAAGGGTTCTGATCACAGATCACAGCTTTGCATTTAGCCCAGGTGCCCACTGAGGTGCACAAGGCCCTGATCTACCCACCGTCCGAGGGGGACTCGGGGAATTCAGGTGCATCTACTGGATATTAACGACCTGTCACCCAACAGTGGTCTGGAAATTTTCTGGACCCTGTATTTAGGGTTGTCATCAGAGACTCTGATACTTGCATGGCACATCTGAGTCCAGAACCAGCTGGTGCACACATGTCCATGACTTCTATAGCTCGACCCTATATAGCTGACCCAAGGCCTGAATCCCAGCCTTGACTTGATTCCTGGGGTTTAGAGCCCTGCTTCTCTCATTCTGGGACCTCCAAATACAACTCTTTAATGGGGAGAATGACAGTTAACATGCACTGACCCCATCATCATTTGGAGTGACCTTTACCTATCCCAGCCAGCTGAGATCAGAATATGGAAGGAAAGGTGATTTTAACAGGCATAGGATTTGGGGTGACTTAATGCCAAGAACACAGATTTACGCCCTGATTCCAGCTCTCTGCCACTCACCATCCCCATGACCTTGGGCAATTATTTCATCTCTCAGAGTCTATTTCCTCACCTATAAGAATGTCTACCTATCTGAGTACTATCTGCTGTAAGGCTCTTAAGAGGATGAAATGTGGGGCGGCTGGGTAGCTCAGTCAGTCAAGTGTCTGACTCTTGATCTTGGCTTAGGTCATGATCTTATGAGACTGAGCCCCTCATTGGGCTCTGTGCTGACAATGTGGAGCCTGCTTGGGATTCTTGCTCTCCCTCTCTCTCTCTGTCCCTCCCCTGCTCTCTCTCTCACTCTCTCTCCTTCTCAAATAAACTTTTTTTTTTTCAAATAAACTTTTTTTTAAGGATAAAATTAAATGACATATGTGACGGTACGTTATAAGGTTAAAAAGCACCGTACAAAAGCTAATGATTCATTCATTACTGGGTTACAGATAAGCTGGAGCATTGATGGAAGGCAGGTGGGTATCAGCTCTAGGGGAAAAAACACAGAAATGGGCAGATGGAGGGCACTGGCCTGGCGCATGATGTAATACTGTCTAGGGTTATCCATGCCCTGGATGAGGACCTGAAACTCAGTCTCAAGGGTGAGACCAGGTGAGAGACTGACCGCTCATGGCTCTCCCGGGACTCTGCCTGGGGTGGGCGGGGGGAAGGGGTGGGCAAAGAGTGAACCCACGCTGCCCGGAGTTAATTCTGGGCCTTCTGCCAGCCGGCTCAGTGACCTTGGGTGAAATATTTAACCTCTTGGTGTATCAGTGCCCTCATTTGTGAAACGAGGGTGGTATCAATCAATGCCTGCCTCTGGTGGCTACTCGGAGGAGGACATACAAAAAGGAACATAAAATCTAAAGCGTTGAGGAAAGCGGCTGGCACACACAATGCTCTCGGTAAAGGTTACTCATCATTCAGACAACTTAGCTTTGGCACAGACTCGTGGGAAGTCAAAAGGCTCAACTCTTTGAAGGCCCAGAGGCAGCGAAGGGAGGGGTTATTGGGAATGTGAATCTTTCCTGCTTTGCAGAGGCAAGGGCCAGTACCAGCTCTTCTGCCAGTGAGGACCCTCAGAGAGTTCTGTTGCACGGGGGCTGGAAGGGGCTCCAATCTAGTCTGGTCTCGTGGGCAGCGCTGAGCTGGCAGTACCCACAAGCCCAGTCAATGGCACCTCTGCTCCCCCCCTCATCAGATACCAGAGGTTAACTGGGACTCAGGCTCATTTAATCCATGTTCTATCTGTGGAATGCAATCCAGACTCACATGAATTCTAGTTCAGGGCGAGAAGTCCATACAATTACTACTTTTTACCCTAAAGTCACCTGTCTACGTATATTCTTCCCCCTTTCCAACTAGGTCTCTCAGAGATACTTGAACTGATTTATTCTGCCATAAATATGCAAATAGAATATCACTGTATTGTTAACAAATGTTAGTCCAGTAGAAAGGGCAGCCCCAATGCAAATGACAATTATGTATGAATATGCAATCAGTAGGCCTAGTACCAGGTACTTGACTCATTTTATCTCATTTAAGGACAAGACCCACCAGTCTATTCGCTACATTTGCGATTTGATTTTGCCAAGTATGCAAGGTTTGTTTTAAAATGTAGTGCCCGGGGGGTGCCTAGGAGGCTCAGTCAGTTAAGCGTTCAGCTCAGATCATGATCTCACGGTTTGTGACGACATTGAGCCCCGTGTCAGGCTCTTCACTGACAGCACAGAACCTGCTAGGGATTGATTCTCTTTCCCTCTCTCTCTTTCTCTCTCTCTCTTCCCACCCCTCCCCCACTTACGCACACTCTCTCTCTCTCAAAATAAGCAAACATTTAAAAATAAAATAAAATGTGGTGCTCAGGGTTGAATGATAGCAATTCCATATGGTTCTACTTATTATTCATTACCAACTGACAGTATGTGTGTGCTTTCATTAAGAGCTGTGAGTGAGAGGGTATCAGGCTATATTCTGTACCGTGAAAACCAGCACCAGTGAGCAAGTGTTAAAACATCCAAATATAAAATCAGCATTGCACCCAAAGGCAAACAGAATTACCCAAATGGAACCTGGAATTCAACACAACTCTATGAAATTGCCCATAAGCACATTTCTCTCCACACCCCCCATCCCCTTCCTCCTTTCTCTTCCTCTCTGGCCTCCACGTTCCCATAATAATCCCTTCACCTTCAAATATTTCTCCAGGGGATTTAAACTGATAAATAATTACAGCAAAGAGAAATTTAAAAACAGCAGTAAAAACAACAGGAAACCCTCATTCTATGTAAATAAGGAGAAATCCAGCCCTCCCCACAGCTTGATCTTATCAATGTACGACCAAAAGCCTTCTCAATGATCATTTTCAAATCTACGCATTAAAATTCTGAAATTCCTCAAAATGTAGATGTGACATTTTAACAAGTAATGTGCTTTTTAAAAAATAAGACCTATTCTTTCCAGTATTTTTTCCAGTTCACTTATCGCTTTCCCAAATGGGAAAACCTTATTCTTTTCTTTTATCCTTTTGGGAGAATTTTACAAGATGCTGCAAATGCACACTGCGACGATCGGAGAGATGGGTATGGTTAAGATTTAAATTGTCATAATCACACTTCAAAGGTTAACTATTCACTACAATAAATCCAAGCTCATGCCCCTTCTAACATTATTGCTTCATCTGACAAGCAGCTTAGCCAGCAAGATAGCTCTTAAGATCCACTTAGAATGGAAGGTCCTTAGAGCCCAATCTGAATGGAATCTTGAGACTGTTTACAGGAAGAACAAATCCTCCCTCAGAGATCTGAAACGCAGTTATAAGTGCCTTGACTGTTAGATCTTTGAGATGAATATATATCAAGTCTGGACTAAATTCCATGGGCAGGAGCAACCAATCTTTGGTCATAGAATCCAGGAAGAAATTATAAAATAAAGTTTACATAGGGGGTGCCTGGCTCAGTGGGTTGAGCGTCTGACTTCAGCTCAGGTCACGATCTCACGATTCATGAGTTCAAGCCCCGCATCGGTCTCTGTGCTGACAGCTCAGTGCCTAGAACCTGCTTGGGGTTCTGCGTCTCCCTCTCTCTCTGCCTCTCCCCTGGTCACGTTCTGTTTCTCTCTCAAAATAAATAAACATTAAAACATTTTTTAAAAATAATAGTTTATATAAATGATGTAAGCTCAAAATTAAAGCCATGCCACACCTTAAGAAGACTTCATTGTCACATTGTAGCCATTTCCCAGTGCTGTAACACTGAAATCCCTAAGCTCTGAAATGCTGGACGCCAGGACCCATACCCTGCTGAGCAAATGCCTGGCTGACATGCACACCCACCCACGTGCTCTCTGCCAGCCTCAGCCGGATGCATCCATTTTCCACTTGAAATCATACCCCCTTTTTTACTGAAAAGCTGATCCCAGCTGATCTTCTTTGAAATAAGCAGGGCGGGGCATGCTTCTTTTTCCTTGCAATTTTTTTTTTTTTTTTACCTTCGGTGCTGGGCTTTTTCATTTCTTCCACCCTGATTAGTTTCTTTCTCACTCTGCGAGTGGAGTTGACCAGCTTGTGCAATCTCTTAAACTTCACCGACTCCTCCGTCTCATCATCCGATTGTTCTCTTGACTGGCAAAGAAACAAAGGAAAAATCAATCAGGGAATTGCCCCAGGGCTCTGCTCTTGCCGCTGGGGGCCCCGCCCAGTCTCACTGCCAGTCTGAACTTGGGCAGGGGTGCAGCTGAACCTGGGGGCGCCAACCGATTGGCCCGACAGGTTCGCTAGGCTCCACACACCATCCGGAGGCCTAATCCACTGGCACATCATCGGGCCCCTGCCCAGCGTGTGGTGCTCTGTCGCGCTTCCTGGTTCCTTCCCAGTCCTCCCTAAGGAGGACTCCGACAGGGCCCTGTCCACAAGGCTGGGCCTGTAATTCCAGTCCCGCGGCTGTGGTTTGGGCCCGGCTCTCCTCTGTCTGGCCCATCAGGCCCGCTTAGCGTGGTCATCAGCCACTCCTCCAAACCAAAATTCTGTTGACTTGTTCCAGCCCTCCCCCCAAAATCAAAAACAGAAGGGCAGGAAAGGGAAGAGAAGCAAAAAGCCGCCCTCTCTTGCATTTGTTGGGACCGTCCGTGTGCCGAGGCGCGGCCATGCCTTCCGCCTCTCGCAGCAACTTCGGAGAGTTCACAGGTGCTGCCATTGCTCCTCAAGGGACAAGGGAACAAGCTGACCTTTTCCGCCGGACGCTACGGTGCATATTCCCCAGCATCCCGTTTCAGTGTGCAGCGACAACAGTGTGCGCAGCCCAGCTGTTTTCCCTCAAGTCTCAAACATTACAGAGAGAGAAAAAAATTCCCTCCGCAGCAGTGGCCCCAGCGAAAAACAATCCTTTCCTTGTGAACAAAATGAGGTTTTCGTTTCCAAGTCAGCCCCACAGTCAATATGCAGCTTCCTCTGCTTTATCTGTTCAAAATGTGAAAAAGCAAAGGAAATCTGCAGCTAACAGGCGTGCTGCTCGGGCCGGGTGCTCAGGCGTTCGGGGAGCAGAGGCGAGCAGCCCTGGCGGACCCTGCCCGACCCGGCCCCAACCTTCCCTCCGTTTCCTCAAACCCTGTTCGCGCACACAACACAAAACCAAACCAAACCCACATCTCTGAACAACTGGTCTACCATGAGGACATTCCCACCCCTCCGGGAAGTGATCCCCATCAGCCCACCTCCATTGACCATCAAATGGGGACGCAGGAGTTAGCAGAGCGCCGTTCAAGGGCGGAAAAAGGTAGAGACTCGGTAAATTACTGAGGCAGAAAATTGGTGCAGCATGTTCTAAGTCCACAAATATTTCTGTAGCACTGTGGCACTACATAAGGGATAAATACAACCCAGTTCCTGGCCTCTGTCCTCACCCTGGGGCTCCCAGCATAAGGCCATTGTACTTTCCCTCTGCACGACTATAAGCAAACCATTCACCCACTGAAGAATGATTATTATAACCCATAAGTGGCAAGTCATCAGGACAGGGGTGTTTCTCAGGCTTCCCTTCTGTGAACCGTATCCAATTTCTCTAAAATTCCTAGATAAAGTGTTGCCTATCCATTTGAGAATTAAAGTGAACTCACTGCTTACTTGATAATTAAGAATAGGAATTGGACCCCCAGGTAATGGGGTGAAGGAAGATACACGTTCATTGCATGCTGGCCACTAGGCCTAATGTGTCTGGTCTAAAACTTAAAAATGTAAAAAGTGAAAATGAACTAGTAAGTACAGCTTCTGCTACAGAATGGTATCGTCTGGTATGGATTTCATTTATACTTGGCTGAACTGTTGATGCGTGATGAAACGGTCAAAGTGGCCAACCAGGGGAATGGGAAACCTGGTTAACCCTCATGCTGGGCCATCAGCACCTGAACAAAACGATCGTGCATGGGATTACATATACACACTGAAAATATTCTGCCTTCTCAATGTATCTCAAAAGCTAAGCAATGAAGAAACAATGTCAGATTATAGTGGGACAAATCTGGAACATGTCTGTCACTCTCATATTAAAAAGCTCCGAAGTCAATGGGGTGCCCAGGTGCCTTAATCGGTTAAGGGTCTGACTCCTGATTTCAACTTGGGTCGTGAACTCACGGTTCATGGGATCAAGCCCTGTACTGGGCTCTGCACTGACAGTAAGAGCCCTCTCTCTCTCTGGCTGCTCCTCCCCTGCTCATACATGCTCTCTCTCTCAAAATAAATAGAAAATAAAACTTAAAAACAATTCTGAAGTCGCGTGAAAATGACACAAACAAAGATACAAGACGCTACGTTACAGAATGAAAATTAGTTTTGTACGTACACCTTGTACCTAGCTTGGTGGTTACTGGTGGTGGGGAGGGGGAGGGGTGTGCCTGCACATTCCACAAAGACAAATATGTAGGAAATATGCCGTCAGAGGGAATTTTTGAGGGAGAAATTGAAATAGTTAAATCAGGGCAACAGAATTAGAGGCAAAAACCCCCTCCCCCAGTCCTACTTTCCTCCGCCCTGATTCACCGGGGTGAAAAATAACGTATTCCAGGTACTTGTGTTTAATTGCTTTCACATGTTCCATCTAGTTTTGAGAAACAGGAGCTCTTTAGAACCATGAACTAACGTTTTTATTTTTCTAAAAAAAAAATATCAATATTTTGGAGGTGTTTGCCACTGACAAATCACAAATCACAGCAACCAGTAACTTTTCATTATCGTGCTTTACACTAAACCAGACAGATGCAGCACAGTTTACATAAAGAAAAATATCATATGTTTCTATCTTTATACCTTATTATTATTATTTTTTTTTTAAATAGAAAATCCCCCCTTGAGTCAGCCTAGAAGTCACTGGAGTTGAACCCAGTTCAACAGCGGAGTGTATCCCAAGGATGCGTTTTATTGATGGAGAGGTGTTGACTTCTCACTTCCTCCGGAGTCCAGAGGAAAAGGAGTTTGTGAAATATTTGCTTCTAAAAAATCCTCTCCAGCTGTTTTAACATAGACCGTGTATAAGGCATGCATTTCATTTAAACTGGGAAATAAAGCTTCAATTTCTCATTTAATGTTTCTCCTTTTAAATAAGCATCTACGCCACTTTCCAAATGCTGAAAATAACTTGTTGTGTCTTTTATTCAGAAATTACACCCCCAGAGATGAGGGTGTGAGAATTAAAAAAAAAACAAACAAAAAAACAAGACTGTTTAAGTGTATGTGTAAACACACACGTGTGCACACATTTAAAAGAAATCTGTGCACCCAGAGGAACTCTCGTAGAAGAAGGAAATTTGCAGTACATATAAAAGGAATAGTCGACTCCGAGAAACAGACTCCTAGAATTAAACAGGGCTACTAGAGAACAGGTTTTAAATAAACTCAAGTGAAATACAGCAGTATATGTTTATGCACCTTGGAACACGAGGTGGTATCTCCTCTTCTCCCTGCCCGGCCTCAGGTCACAGTACTAAAAGGAAACTTTAATCTGCTCATCTTCGAAGTGAGAAAGTGAAAACACAATCATCTGTAGAAAACTCCTCACCTCCCAACTTGAGTAGAAAAAGGCAATTAATTTATTCCACTGAAGGAGGCTGGAAAAGTGGATTTACATTATTGTAGATAGAAACATTTGATTTCTAAGCCTAGTCTCCATTGCAGATTTTTCCACCAGAAAGCCCATATGGCTCAACTTTTAATTACTTTGGCTAATGCTATATGTAGTAATTCTGTGGTGAATGCTTAAGTGTTTCATTTCTGGTTTCCATGGCAACATTACATCAGATTACAGACAGCTGGCTCCACAGTTTTAAACCATAACAAATTGACCAAGCCAAGGCACAAAACTATAGCTGCTTTAAAGAGATAGTACACCATTCGCCTGCCAGGGTGCTGAATGAGGAACCTATGGGGCCCACTTGGCAGGCTAGGGAGGGTGGAGCCTCCTTCCTTCTCAGCTTCTTTTGGAACATGTGCGTCCTTGACACATCTGCAATGTTCTAATAGGAAAGACACGGAGCCAGCGTGGAGGACTTTTCATAACACAGCTACATTAAGGATGATCAGAAAAAGGGAATACAATTAATAGCATCTGTGGATAGAAAAGTTTGTGTGCCGGAGCAAACGAAAAAGCAGCATCTCCGCGCTCTCAAGCCTGTCCCTGCAGGTGGGTAACAGATACTTTGTCCCTGTAACAAACAGTTCTTGCAACTAAGGTGCGCTATCACAAATGCTTTCCAAAAGCCACATGGCACAGTGTTGCTGGCGCAGGAGACTTGTGCCATAAGAAAAGTTAAACTGAACTTGCAAGGAGCACACAAAGCCCTTCTGGGGGCTGCTGGAGCCAGTGGTGAGCAGGGGATTACCACTGTGCCTCTTGCAGTAACACGCTCGGCTTGCTTCCCCAGCTCCGAACACCCAGCACACTGTCCCAATTAGCAGCCAGACTAAGTCAGTTTATCTCCCCTGGAGCCACACACACAACACTGTAAGATATTTAAGCATTTCTGAAATCTTCTGAAATTGGAAATGTACTTTGCTTGTGAAATTCACACGACAGTTTCTGGTCCAGTGGGTGCGGAATGAAACATACATGCTTCAACTTCCCTGGTCTGCTCTTGTCAGTTGCATTAACCATTAACCATAAGAGAAGGCAGCCGATCAGCTGCAGGTTTATGAAAAGCTACATCAGGCAAGGCTGTCTGCAGGCAAGTCCTCCACACAGAAAGCCTCCAGGTTGACAACTGAGCTCCAAACACACACACTCACTCTCTCCAGAATCACTTTCTTCTCAAATTAAAACTCACTCTTCTCCCCGCAAAGCTATGCCTTATTATCGGGTGGGCATGCTAGCAAAGAAAGCTCGGGGTTCCACGGCAGGGAAGTGCGGAAGGGAAGAACAAATCTCAAAGAATCTGAATAGAAAACAGGCAAGCATCGTAGCCCGGAGCAGTCAAAAAGCTTTTCCTTGCAGTGACAGAAAGCACATTTTCCCTTTCACATGAAACACATCCAGCGAACTTACCGGCTTCGGCATTTAGCAGGCCTGAGGGGCAATTTCGAGCACGTCTGGTACCCCCGCCCCCTCCCCACGTTGAGAGTGTCTTCACTCTTGTTCCGTC